CTGGGCAAACCAAACCCAAACCAAACACTTCTTAATCGTTCTGCTTTTTAGCAGACGGTCTTTAGCTTTGTTCGAAATCCATCAAACAACAACCCGTATCTAATTAGACACGCGCATTTTTGGTCCTGCTCAAAATTAGTAGAAACATATTTTCGGAACTAGATTTTTCCCTGCTGTCTGGGTTGGCTTTAGTGATTTATTGCGAATCTTTAGTGATTTATTGCAAGTTTGCCCAATAGTCGCATCAAATTCATTGCATAAGATTGGCTTGGGAATCTATTCAAAAAATTTTACAAGACGTGAAATTTCAATGTTTCAAAAGGCATCAATGTTCTGTGTTTTTATTTATTATGGATATTGACTTTTTTGATCGGAACGTACGCCATCTAAAATCTGAAAAATTCCGACAATAATAAATTCCAGTAATAAATTGTTAAATTACCCAGACCAGTTTCCTTTTTAAAACATGCTTCAGATAACTTAATCGTTTTAGCTTGTCAAAAACCAGGTAAATCGCATTATCTAATCATCGAAGTCGATGAATTCAAATTATTCATGCTTCGGAAAAGCTCAATCCCTTTGAAACATCTTGTCGCGTTTCATCCACCGCCCCGTCACTTTATTTTACGTAGCCTCAAATTTTCCAGGAATGAATTAGGTCAAAGAAGCCTTTTTAATTTTGTTGTACGTTGAATTTTATTGAAATTTGAACTTATTTGATCAAAAATTCAAAATGTTTGATTCATTTTATAAACGAATTGGACCTAGGATTAATCGTTTTGGGTATCTGGCTTTGATGGCTTCGATAAACATTTTTTTACCATAGCGTTACCTGGCTTAACGTAACTGAAATTAAGCTTAGAATTTCTCAGTGAGTTTGCGCTTCATTTTGCAGCAGTATAATCCTTTAAGGCATACAACTTTTTAGGTGATATCTTTTCAAGTACCTTTGATTTATGAGATTCCATCCTATCATCTAACGCACAAGGCCTTTAGAGTCACTAAATTTTTTGAAATTTAGGGTTTCAAAAATGTTCGCAGACGCACGATTTTCAGTTTTTTTTTTCAATTTGTATACTCGTCAATAATCCTAAAATCCTTATCTTCTCTCACGAAATTAAAAATTTTGGCTTTCTTGATTTTTTACTCGGGTGCCTTTAGATATTTATCATTATTACATTTATAGACTCATACATCCGTTTTATTGCCTATTTCTCTTTTTAGCATAATACTGAATTTGTTTTTAAAATTTAATTTTTTTGCCAATCCCGCTGCCGAGGAAGTTCCACGCTGGTGCCGTGGATTTCCGGAGAAACCGCTTCTCCCGGTCTATTCATTGACCTGACATTGGTACGTTTTCTGTCAAATTTAATTTGATTGGTTTTATAATACAGTCGGTTCTATTAAAATTTGTGAAAGGCTTTTATCTCTATCAGCATTTTTCCCCGCTTCAAAACTCAAAATTCTTTAGAAAACGGGTGTTTCAACAATGTGCCACAAAAAAAGGAATTGTTATTAAATTAATGGGCCATATATTAAGCTGAGTAAAGCAAACGAATGCATTCATCACCAATTAAATAAAATTAATAAATTACGCAAATTCAGTAGTTGGGCAAGTCATTTTGAAATTCCATATTTTACTTTAGCTTTTTCTCAAAATCTGTAAATTCAAAGTGACGAATCGTCGTTTTTTTATTTTATTTTATTTAGTAGCCAACTATTTGTTAAATAAAAAGAGGCGTTCAAAACTGTTTTTTTTGCTATTTCTAAAAGCCAAGACTTTAACAGTTTTATTGAAATCACCAAATCGAAGATATTTCGGGTTTTCTGGGCGATAATACATTCGGGTTTTCGACGAATATTTCGAATTTTGTAAAAATTTTAGATGGTCTTTCTATTTCAAATATTGCTACTTTCTTTTTAAAACTATTAAAATACTCGCGATTCCGTTACTAGACATAATCGGACCTTAAAAAAGTCTATTTCCTCCCACCCGGATAATGCAAAAGAACTAGAGTCGAAACTTGGGATACAGAGCGAATTATTAAAGACAAATTCCGTTGCCTGACTTGTCCACTCCTTAAACATATTTTCTAAATCGTGCCCACCCCCACCGTAACCCATTTATTCAGTCCTTTTCAGTCATTTCTCCCCTGCCAAGGCCGTCGCCTCCGCGCTGTCGCTGCGACGACCGCTAGCGACAGGTTTGTCTTTTCGTTTGACACACGTTTTAGCTATTCTTTTGTTGGGCTTTGCGCAAGAACTATTGAACGGTTTTGCGCTTCCCGGATGCTAAGGAAGCGCGTAACACATTTTTGCGAGTGGGGTGTATGCTACGCGGCTTTTTACGTATGGGTCTCTCTCACCCTCTCGCTCTCTCCATCTCGTTCTCTCTCTCTCTCTCTCTCACACGCCATCGTCTTATTTTAGAAAAACCAGATACTAAGGAAAAAAATGACATTCCCCCCCGATAATGCAAATGAACGGCAAACGAGTTGGAGCCTTAAATAAATTCAATTAGGCTTTTTGGGTGTTTTTGGAAACTTGTAGACATGAAATTACCTCAATGGATGAAGTCATTATTGTGGATACACCAAAGGAATTTCTAAATTTCAGCGAAACTTTTTTATTCACGCGATCCCAGTCGTTTCGATTAAGAAATGCGTTAAAATATGTAGTCTCTGAGTTCGATGAAACATTTTTTTTCTTTAATTTGCGGGTGTTTGGGTTCTCCATTAACTAGTGTCTGGGGGAAATTCATATATTCAGACTGAAATCAAGCATTTTTTTGATTGCTTAAAATACCGGATTCTGCTTCCAGGGACGTAGCGTAATACAGGCCCCGGGGGCCCGGGCCCCCCCCCCGAAATCGGCCGGTGCCCGAAAATTTCATAAGGGGGGGACCCTTATGATTTTTATTTCTCAAAAATTTTGCTGCCTGCGGCGCTATTTTTTTCACGTTTTTACGGCTATTTGTAGAGCTATGTAACCTTTTTCCAAAAATTTTTGCTGCGGTGCTGTTTTCTCGTTAAAGTTTTAGATAATTTTCAAAAAAAAATTTTGGGGGCCCCCCCGTAATTTTTTTCTGGCTACGCCCCTGTCTGCATCTATTTATTTTTAATTTTGTATTTTAATTTTTTTCATTCATTTTTATAATTTATATTACTAAGCACACCAGATAGGTTAAAAATCAATAAAGCCATCATAACAAAAGGTCATGAAAAACGTCAAAAACGTATATTTCAGCTTTACACGCTTTATCACGCTTTATTGGCTTTTCAGCTTTACCACATTAACAATGCGCATTTTGGTGGCTTAATAAACCTGTCCATCCAGTATCTTTATTCAAAATTCTATAAAAGTGGTTGGTTCAATTAATTATGACTTTTCAGGCCGGTGTGCGTGTGGGGCGTTTGGGTGGGCGTTGGGCCCTGCATGGATCGTGGCCAGCGCCTTTTCCTGCTGCTCGCCCTCTCCGCATTCAGAGGTACGATTTTTTTCATTAGAAAACGTATATTTCAAAAAATTATGTTGCTACAAATGTTTGGTTGTGCATTAATTCAATATCAGTGTGGATGTTTTGACAATTTGACAAACAATGTGTTTTGACAATTTCCGTTCACTAAAAATCTATCTCGCTTTTAGTGTCTCTTTATTATGTCTATGCACTGCGTCAGGGTGGGGGGAGCGGCTTAATTTTTTGTATAAACCCAGAAATGCCTAGCACTTTTTAATTTTTATTTTTTAACGCATCTTTTAATAGTCGTTATCCTCACAATTTTCAAAGTGGTATTATTTCAAGTGGTAATACCAGTTAAAAAACTTCAATTTCAATGTTGCTCGGATTTTCGTCGAAAAATCTATTTTTATGCATTTTTTTACAAGAAGCTGTACAGTATTTAAGCTTAGGACTAGCAGAAAATGTCTTAAAAACACTTCAAGAATTATATTGGAACAATAGCGTCAGAAGAAAAATTAATTGGCCCCTCGATAATGCGACAGTACGCCAAATTTTTTTTAAAAAGTCCTTCTCTAGAAATGCTCTTAAAAATTGCATCTATTCCAACTCGCCGATCCATTTAAGCTTTCGATATTTATTCACCGAATTTTCCCAAAGAGCCTTTGCTAGCTTGCCTGGCGTGAGTGAAATATTTTTCTGCCACCTACGAAAGGTTCGGGATTACGGGGTTGTAACGGTTTTTTTAGAGGGCAGCTCGGTGAAACTCAATTTTTTAAACATGCACTTTCAAAATCTTTTCTCTCTTTACATTGGAAAAATTGCGTAAAAAGAACGTAAAATGGTCCCGCCACGATAAACTAAAACTAACCAGGAACCAAAATTGTCGTTAAAAAATATTATAGTCGCAACAGCTTTTTTGCGTATCGCAGGCCGTGTGGATTACGGGATTTTAAATGTTTTTTATCGGGGGGAAATCGTTGAAACTCGATTTTTGTTAAGCCGCTTGGTGAAGTTTGTATTTGTAGGAGTGGTAAAAAGATGTCTAAAAACGTCTTTCTTTTTATTAGAAAATTCGGATCTTACAGAAAAATTCCTCCCCCCCCCCCGATAACGCAAAAGAGTGCATAATTTCCATCTTTGATGGAAGTTTAAAACACAAAAACTTCCTAGATTTACGATTTTTTGTAAAGCATATACAGATTTTAGCTTAACACCTAGCTCCTCGTTAGGATACTCTTAAAACTTGAATAATACCCATCAAAATCATCCGATACTTGTTGTTCGATTTTCCCAAAGGCTCTCTGCTAGCTGGCCTACGTGGAACGAAAGTATTCGGGGTTAGCGGGCGTACCCCTTTTGATTGGAGTATTTTTTGAATCGACGTGGCAGTTTTCGCATTACATGATTCGGATAATTTTTTATAGGAAAACTCCATGAAACTCTTTGTTTTTCAGGCGCGTGGTGCATCGGGTGTTTCGTGTGTCAATCGTTTAACGGCTCCGACGCCTCCTGCGAGGATCCCTACAATTCCTCACTCTCCATGATGCCCACAATTGTACGTTTTATTATTATTAAATAATTCTTAGTATTTGAAGCTTTTGCTGTTCACTAATTTTAATGATTTTAAACGTTTTTATTGCAAGTTTGTTTCAAAGATTCTTGAAATAATGAAGCCAATCTCATACTAGGACAAAGGATGCAAATTTGGCCACAGCTGAAAGTCGTGTTCCGATCAAATGTTTCAACAATTCAAGAAAAAGCGAAGCAAATTCAAGAAATAATCGCGAGGAACTCTTTGAAGCCCCCAAGCATGTTTTCAAAAACTGTTGAAAAACGCGCTAATGAATTTTTATGGCAGAGAAATCCCTTGACTGACTTTGGAAAAAATTAGGAAAATGAGGTTCTAAATAAAGTTTATATTTTTTTGGCAATTAATTGTTTATTTAAATTTAACAATACAGTAATAGATCGAAAACTTGGCAAGATTAAGATCGTATTTTAGCCATCAATTTCAAAAAATTGGAGAATTGACATTAGACAATTTTTAAATGAGCATGTTATTATTATTTATTTTTATTTATTTATATAAAATTATATAAAAATAAGATTATTCATATTTATTTTATTTATATAAAGTTTGTTTATATTTATAGCAAGATTGAAAGCTTGATAAAAATGGCAAGTTTAGCTTTGGTTTTTCAGAAACAATGTTCCATAAAATTTCCTCAATGTGTGGTTATTGAAATCCGTAATCAGCAGTGTGTGTTCATATGAAAATGAAACATTTTGTACGTCCAGAATTCATACGATCCGTAATACCCATTCTAATTTAATTTCTATAATTAAAAATATCGCTTTTTTTTTCAGGCACCAACGCCAGGGCAGCCTTCTACTTCCGGTCCCCAGCACTACCAACATCCGTGTTTTGCCTTCCGAAAAGAACGGGACGGCCTTTTCCCTGCCGATCATTGCATCAAAATTAACGGAAAAAGAAGTGGGTTTCAAAAAATATGCTTACTGGACGAAGCAAGTTCTAAGTAATCTAGTGAAAGCGGTATCACAATCAACATTATAAAATCACGGTCATTTAAAGGGACAGACAGGGCAGTGTTATAGATTTTAAAAGGCCGTTTGCGAGAGACCCGAACAATGCTTGGCACAGTTTTTTTTCGGCCCCGTTTTTTTGAGGGCATCTGAAAGAGCATGGTCAAATTAGTAGGGCTGCACAGTTTTGAAAGTTTAAAAAGTTAATTTTTGGGGTTAAAATTGGAGTCAAAGTGGGCGACCCTCAAAAATTATCTCCAAAACTACTGCACCAAATTGGCTAAAAATTGGTGACAATACCTAATTTGGGATGGGGATCATTTCTCTAATACATCGTAAAGCACGAAAATGAGCGGAACACCGGAATCTCGCGTACCCAAAACAGTAATTTTGGATTTTCTATTTTACGGGTTTCCGAGGGTAACTTCTTTTTACTATAGAAAGATGCACCAGAAAATTCTGCGTTGAATGATGTATTTTTCATTTTACCCTCCGGTTCCCTAGTTCCGCTATAAAGCATTTACTGCGCGCAAAACAGCCTCCAGACTAGGCCAAAAACCTCAAAACTGGCAGATTTTGAAATTGAAAGTATCAAATCGTATCTAGAGAACGAGCTGAATCCATTGCAAAAAAGAGCAAAAAGAAATAACGTTTTTGAAGGGGGGCTGGGATTGAACTCGCGCGACCCCTGGATTGGTAGGCGAGCACTCATGCAATCCACCACGGCCCCAGAGAGGGCTTCCAGGCGAAGGGTCCGAGTTCGATTCCTTCCGGATCTCAGCCCATATTTAGAGGCTGAATTTCTTTTTGCTCTTTTTTGCAATGGATTCAGCTCGTTCTCTAGATACGATTTGATACTTTCAATTTCAAAATCTGCCAGTTTTGAGGTTTTTGGCCTAGTCTGGAGGCTGTTTTGCGCGCAGTAAATGCTTTATAGCGGAACTAGGGAACCGGAGGGTAAAATGAAAAATACATCATTCAACGCAGAATTTTCTGGTGCATCTTTCTATAGTAAAAAGAAGTTACCCTCGGAAACCCGTAAAATAGAAAATCCAAAATTACTGTTTTGGGCACGCGAGATTCCGGTGTTCCGCTCATTTTCGTGCTTTACGATGTATTAGAGAAATGATCCCCATCCCAAATTAGGTATTGTCACCAATTTTTAGCCAATTTGGTGCAGTAGTTTTGGAGATAATTTTTGAGGGTCGCCCACTTTGACTCCAATTTTAACCCCAAAAATTAACTTTTTAAACTTTCAAAACTGTGCAGCCCTACTAATTTGACCATGCTCTTTCAGATGCCGTCAAAAAAACGGGGCCGAAAAAAACTGTGCCAAGCCATATTAGGGTCTGTTCGGGTGACTCGCGGACGGCCTTTTAAACAGTGGATCCGGTTATCCGGTACTGGACTGTTAGCGGGGGGGGAGTAATTTCTATTTTGATCATTCCGCCATCATAATTTATATGCATTTTGTAGGATTTTTATTAGTTTTTGATTCTAGAAAGTCACAAAAAAAATGTTTTAAAATGTTTGAAAATGCGAACATTTGTTTTTTTGACGATTGTCGATAAATCTTTGACCGAAAATCCGTAATTTTTCTAAAATCTGTTTATGTTTTGGGAGGCTTTTGGTTCTAAAAACTGTTTAAAATTATATCAAAATGGCTTACATGTTGTTTGATAGGGCCGTAAAGGATTACTGGGGAAACACCCTCCCCCCCCGCTAACAGTCCAGTAGCAAATTGATGGTACTTTAAAGGGACGGGTAAGGCCCGCCTATAAATTTGACTACCTAAGGATTTTCTATGGATTTTGGCGCACAGAAAAAGTATCACGTGTAATTACGCAATATTATTAAGAAAAATTTGGTTCTAAACCCCCCGTAGGCAAGAAACATTTTAACCCAACCAATGGTCCTAAATTCGAATAAAGACCAAAAATTACCCGTGTAAATTTAGATTGTAAATATAAAAGGACCAAAAAGAGAAAAGTAGATAATATTATTGCCTCTAAAACAAAAAACAGTTTTATATAAATTCAGATCCCTTTTGTAAATAAATGTTTCACCCTGAGTATTACCAAAATAGGATTGGTTTTGATTATTAAGGTCTTACCAGGGTTCTTTACCGCTTCGCGACTTTTCAACCCTGAATATAGTAGGATGACATGGATTTAAAAAAAACTTTTACGCTGGTAGCTGGAAAGCTAAAACCAAAGTAAATGAATTCCGAGCAGATCATATTTACTGCATAGATTTTATGAATTCCTGCATTCTTAATACCTTTAAAAATTTGAGATCGACAATTATATGAAAAAAATTTTGACAAAAAAATGTGTTTTAGCTCTAGGTGGAGACGGAGTGGGCGGCCTAATTTTAAATTTTCCGTGAGATCTTCATCGTCTAAAACCAAAAATTTATTTAATTTTATACATACTGAAAATTCTGTTAAGATGAAAGACAAAATGTACATATCAATTGCCATATATCCTCAAATGGTACCATTAAATCATGTAACATTTATTCTAGTGGACGACCCGACCCAAACGATGATGGTCCGAACGTGTGCCGTCGACTCGGGCTCGTTGACGGCTGATACGGGTAATTTTTGCCTAAAGTATACACCTTAAAAAATCACTACTAGATCTTCACGTAAAATTAGATAGTGGGATTATTGTTATGCTGAAATTGGGCTACGACTTTCTAAAGATTCAGATTAAATTTTTAAAACGTTCTTTTCAAAATACTTACCTTCGTGCCTGCCTGGGTTCAACAATCGTGTCGATCTGGTCCTACAGTGACTCAACCTGTTTTGTTTTTTTTGAAAAAAACCCGAACACTAGTGGAACGGCTAGCCAAAATAGATTAACACAGGATCTTATGAAAATTCCTGGTAAAAGCTCGAAACATTCTTCTTCTAGCTTGGACTGCGATTTTTTTAGTTTGCTGTATTATTATTTTGCACTTCACAGTGACATTTTTAGGCTAGATCGGTCAAAATTGTCTATTTTCTATATTTTATCAGCACTATTTTCCGCTAGAAGTTCTTTTCAAAAAAAGTTTAGTTTTTTTCAAAAAAAAAATTGGACTATACGTGCCTCGCATAAATTAAAAGCTCAAGTTCTAACTGCTCCCGCTAAAAATCTGAAACATCCTTGTTCAAATTTGGCCGAAATGCTTTTGTAAACAATCCGTTTTCAGAAATCGTCCGAATATCACACTGCGGCTCCTTCAAATATGAGCATCAGTACTACGATGGCTGCGTACAGGCCTGCGACACCGATGGCTGCAACTCCGCCCCAGCGCTGCACACGCTACAACGATTGTCTATTTTTGTAGCGCTTCTATTCACGATTTTACTATGAGCAAATGAAACCTCGTTTTTCTTCTCTATCTGAAAAATTTAAACCTGAAGAAATTTTAAGATTTTTCGATACTTTTCGATCATCATTTTCAGAAACTATTGAAAAGTATAAAAAAATTAACTTACCGGACGTGATTTGGATTAAGATAACGGTATTAGCTTCATAGTTATAAATTAATTTTAGAAAAGTACACCCGCTACGCACAGATCAAAATCGTGCGGATTCCTTTGATCAGGGCGTACCGGGCGTACTCCGGTGTATTCTAACAAATTTTCTACCGTATAAAAATATACCTTTGCGATATCTATATTGAATTACGCCTTTTTAATCGAATAATTTTTTGATCGTTTTGACACTACGATATAATATATAATATAATACAAGCAAGCGGAAGAAAAGAGGCGAAAATGTTTCACATATCTGCCACCCTGCAGCCAGTTTAAAAAATTTAATCTCAATGGTTTTTTGGGCGTCAAAAAGTTACGAAAACTCGTAAAATCCTTCAAAAATTCATTTTTCAACACTATTTTTACAGAATTTACGCACGCTACATACATTACGCAACATTATATGTCCGCCATTGTGATCCTCGATTTTCCCCTTGTCCTTATCATATTTTACTATTTTCCATTATTTTTATTATTATAAATTTTTTTAGCTGTCCCCTCTACGTGATTGAATTTTCCGTGTTTCCTCCTTTCACGAGCTGAACAATCAAAGTAAATAACCAATCTCGTCTTTTCTACCATCAATTTTTACAGCCCACTTTTTAGTATGACACCCCGTACAAATCGATTGTCGCGATGTGAACCGACCGGTTGTAGCCACCCCCACTATCTTTTTTTTCTTAAATATGTTAAACAATCGATTTTCCTCTTTATAAGAACTTTTAAAAGATCGAAATGTCAGAATCAACATTTCTTTAAGAGTTCCGGCAACGGTTTCAGTTGTTTTCCGCATTTTCAATAGTTGTTCTGTTTTTCTGATCAATTCCCATCCTTTCAACCCCTGAATAAAATTCTATTTATTTTCTGAAATAAAAAAAACTCTTTAATCCTTGGAAACACGACGTATCTACGCGGAAAGTCTTTGAAACATCGGAAAATTGGGCGGAAATGACGGATCTTGCGATTGGATATTTTTTTAATAAAAATTTGTCCGATTTGTCCGTTTAGGAATAGTAAAAAACCGTGTTAGAAACACTACCACTATTTATATTTGAAAAATTAAATCCTAAAAAAAAGTTTGTTTCGCCCCGGGGGTCCCGCAGATAATGCGCAAGAAGCTGAATGAACCGGTGACAACATTGAGCTGAAATTGTCGCGTATATTCTGCCAAAAGGGATAAGCCACGGTTTTCCAAAGGTTCTTCTGATCTGCCGATTGAATTTTTAGCGTGGTTTTCGGTAGCTTTTTTGCTCGCACAAAAGGAAATCCGACGACCGTCGGCCCAAAGAAATACAGACTGGCTTTTTGCACAGATTACTTACTAATGGCCGTTCGAATTATCATTTTTTTGTAATCCTATCCTATAAGCGAGAAAAGTATGTGTGTTTTCTGTGCAGACGATTTCTCGGCCGTCAGGCCGAATTCCCGGCTGATTTTTGGCATGGAGGTGGAGAAGCACATCTTCTTTATAAGCATTTTTTTTGTTTTTCAAAATTCCTTCATTTAACGATTTTACAAGCAAAATAGTGAAAAACCCTTAACATTTTGGTCGAAAAAAGGTTTGTACAGAGGATATCTCGCGATCCAAATGGAATTCAGCTTTAATTTTTGGAGGGCGGATTGAAAATAGAATTCTCCCGATATATAATTTTGCGTTTTGCTAGATTTTGTAAAATAAAGTTTTTATGAGCATTTTTCTAAAAATTCCTTAACAAAAAGGCCGAAGTGCCGTGGTGTTCGGGCCATAACTCGAGACCCAGATGGAATTTCGGGCTGGAATTTGGACAGCTTATGTATTCGATATTGGGGATTACGCGCATCTTATTATCTTTACAAATTTCCCGCATATTCAAACACAAAAATCGAATTTTCTAAAGTGACCTCTGGGATCATTGGGTCGTCCTTTTCTTTGCCTTCCCCCCCGTCCCCAGAACATAAGAGGGCTTTCCCGCCGCCAGTTCCCATCTGTCCTATGGTGTAGTGGATTTGCGCCCGGTCTACCATGCGCATGGTCGTGAGTTCGGATCTTGGGAGGATTTAACTTTTTTTGCTTTTTGGTAGTGCAGCAACAAAACATATTTCTAGGCTCTCGGTGTGCGAGGTTTCGGCATGACCCTCGCTCTAGCGCCGCAGGCCCAGAAAAGGCCCTTGGCCCAGGCTCTCGCGCCGCAGGCCAATGATAGGTCCTTGATCTAGGCTCTTGCGCCGCAGGGAAATCCGGGAGAACAACCAGTAACTAGCGCCGCAGGCAAAAAGATTCTAGCGCGACGCTTAGGCCTGGCTCTCGCTCTAGCGCCGCAGGCCAAAGGAAAGGTCCTTGGCCCAGGCTCTGGCGCCGCAGGCCAAAGAATGGCTCTTTGACTCAGGTTCTTGCGCCGCAGGCTAAAAAAAGAAGGTATTCGAATTCATCGTTTCTGAACGGGGTCCAGTGGAAAAAGGCCGCGAAGCGGGCTTTTTCCACTGGTCCACAGTATACAAAGCCTTTTGTCTTGTACGCCCCTTGAACAGCGGATCACAGCGCATGGCCTAAAGCGCGTCCGAGACACCGTAGCCCTTCCCCTCATCGAGGGGCAAGGCCACGTCTCGCTATCTACCCGCCGGCTTGAACCCCGGCCTAGATATCACCGTAGAACAAACAAAATTGCCCTTTCGCTTGGGGGATGGTATCGACCGAATGTCGTAGCTGGACGGCAGCATTGTCAGGGAAATTTAGCTTTGGAAATGGATGTTTCGTCTCTACAGGCTATCAGAATGAATTTTGTCATTCTAATGCGCGTGAGGGTGTTGTGCGAGTAACCATCAAATTTTTCTACTAGGCCTAGTGCCCCTCGAAAATGACGCCTTGCGCACTTGGTGTAGGGATGTGACTAATTTCTAGGTCTAGATTTACTAAATATACAAAAAGAATCAGGTTTACGAATAGAAGGCTCGGGCGAAAAGGTGAAATCGCGTTTTTCAGCACGAATTTTGCAATTTATACCTGGCGGCTGGCAGCAAACATTTGCTATTCTTGTATAGATCGCCGTAATTTAATTTGTTTTTGTTTTGAAAATCAATGTTGCGATTCTTTGCACGATCCGACTGCCCCGAACATTTCTAGTGACAGACGGTAGCACTTGATTAGCGCGACTCTATTTGATTTTGAGAATGGATTGCTGGGCTTGTATGTTTTAAATTAGAAATCTAGGAGGGAAAATTCGTAATCTCTGGGCAAAAGATCAAGTTTAGCTCGAAAAAAAACCGGGTTTGTTATCCTCAAAAGCCGTAATTTTTTATTTTGGTCTTGATGCCCCTTTAAAAGACTGCAAATTCGTCCAGGGCGCGCTAATCACTCTGCTTATTGTTTTTAATTATGGCTCAATTTCCTCTCTTCACTCCAGTCTTACCGACTTTCACACAAATTCGTTACATTTTAGAGGCAATGCGACTTCAACACATGCCGACTCGCCAACTACTCGTCTCCCGACGCCACTTCACCAACGACTTCCGGATCGTCGAAGTCGGCGCACGGGACGGGCTGCAGAACGAGAAGCACTTCGTCCCGACGGCCACCAAACTCGCGCTCATTCAAAGACTCGGCGAGGCGGGCCTCCGCACCATTGAAGCCACCTCGTTCGTCGCCCCAAAATGGGTCCCGCAAATGGCCGATCACAAGGAGATTGTCGCCCAGATCCAACGTGCCCCTGGAGTTGCGTATCCGGTGCTTGTGCCGAATCTCAAGGGTCTAGCGGCGGCGCTGGAGACGAAGAAGGTTGATGAGGTGAGGAGCTCAAGCTTGGAAACTTTAATTTGTACTTTTCACAATTTTCCACGCTGCGTTAGACAGCTAAAAGGAACTTTTTGTACAAGTCTAGAAAGTTCTGGTATTAATAACATTTTGATTGAAAAAAATAGATATATTTCAAGTGCGGTCAATAGAGGTCGAAATTTGGCCAAAAATCTGCCATTTTTCGTCGAGATCGACATTTTTGATATTTTATGTTTTAGTAGTGCTTTTAGTAACGAAACTGACACAGAACGACAAAAACGTTGACATTTCCAGATTGCACTCTTCGTGGCCGCTTCCGACGCCTTCAACAAGAAGAACATCAATTGCACCACCGAGGAGGCGATGCAGAGGGCCGCCGAAGTGGCCAAAGAAGCTCTAAAACACGGGCTGAAGGTCCGTGGCTACATCAGCACCGTCATCGGATGCCCATATCAAGGAGCGATCGATCCCTCCGAGGTCGCTGCGTTGTGTGCAGCCCTTTTGGAAGGTATGGGTGTTGATTGGGCACCGTTTTTACGCCGATTTTAAGTATAGAAAATAGCAAAAAGCATAAATAACGGTCCACTTTCGTATTATCGGGTTGCCGAAATTTTTGATATAAAAACTTATAAATGCCTAGTCCCTTCATAATGAATTTAATCATCTAATTTTGATGGTGTTTTTAGTAAAATAAGAACGTATGTAATAGTTTTATAAACATTCAAAAAAGGTCCAAATTTTGCCAAAAACCGGCCACTCTTGGTCGAAAATCTAGTTTTTGTTGTTGTAAATTTTCAGGCTTTTACTCTGAGGAATAGCCAAAAAAGCTTTAGAAATACGCTCTCGATTTAGATCAGATAAATTGGTTCCTAAGAAAAAGTTGCTCCCCCCCCCCCCGATAACGCGAAAGAACCGTTTTTCCTTCATTTAAATTCATTGAAGTAACAAAATACGGCTTTTAACACTCTTTATGAACCATTTCAGCCGGCTGCTACGAGGTGAGCCTGGGCGACACGATCGGCGTCGGCACACCGGCCACCGTCGGCAAGCTGCTCGCCAACCTGCTCCCCGCCATCCCACAAAGCAAGCTCGCCGTGCACTTCCACGACACCTACGGCCAAGCCTTGGCCAACGTGCTCACCTCGGTCTCGGCCGGGATCCGCGTGGCCGACTCGAGCATCGCCGGCCTCGGTGGATGTCCATACGCGAAAGGGGCCACCGGCAACCTGGCCACCGAGGATTTGGCCTACATGCTGGCCGGGATGGGCCTGAAGACGGGCGTCGATTTGGATAAACTCGTCGACACTGGAGCGTGGATTTGCCGAGAGATGGGTCGCACCAACGCGTCACGCGCCGCCACTGCGATACTCAACAAAAAGACCAAGACTTGCTAGTTTAGTAGCCTAGCTTTTAATTAGATTTAGTTTTGTAGCTGTGATAATGAAAAACTGACAATCTGAAAAATGTTCTCAAAGTTTCGTAGTTTTTCTCACATCTCTCAAGTTCGTTTTTCGAAAATATTGCGACCATCTTTTCCAGATTACCGAAAAAGGAGACGATCGTTGTACGCTTTTTACTCACTTTTTTTTTTTGATGAAATTCGAGTTTTGCGATGTGGTTTAACTCGTTTGATAGGTGTTTTCTAAATATGTCTAATTGTTTTATTGATTCTTACCATTTTTGTGGAGATTCGAGAGGTTTTCCTTATCATTCGGGCTTTCATGTCAAAAAATACGATTTATATCTAAAAAACGGCCGATTAGAGCTTCTTTCTTTGATTTTTAAAGAATTCTACGTCGAAACTTGTGAATTTTACTAGCCGCATGCATTTCTTATCTATTTTACCCTCGTCTGTTCCTTCTTCGTGAAAATTTCATTGTTTCACGTTTCTTTTACTTAGATTTCTGGTTTTTATGATAATGAATTTCCTCTTTTCCCAAATAGTCCCCTTTTTATCGCTCCGGTACTGCTAATTTCGATGTGCTTCGTTTCACACGGGTTCTCTAGATGTTCGATTTTCCTTTCCCTCCTTTGTTTTTTTGAAGTTGCAATAAAACAGATCCCACTTTTCTAGGCGCCCACCATGCGGGTACACCTGGCGCTGGCCGCGCTGCTCGGCTGCGCGCTAGCCGTCAAGCGCGAAGACTTCAAGACGTGCGACCAGGCGGCGTATTGCAAGCGACACCGGGCGATCACGGTACGTTTTTGGAGTAAATTGGTGATTTTAACTTATTTTTTTCAGGAAAACACCGGCTACGAGGTCGACTTTTCGACCGTTCAACAGCACGGCGCCGTTTTGACCGCCTACCTTTCTAGTAGGTTTTGGAAGGAATGGTTTTTTCTTAAATCTTTCGTCACAAAAGCAACGTGTTAAATTGTTTTATATTTTTGCCTACGTTTTTGTATAAATTTTCTTTTTTTTCCAGATTCCGAGAACAAGTTGGCCCTCAAGATCACCGGACTCACCGATTCGCGCGTTCGCGTCCAAATTGACGAGCCCGAAGGAGCGTTGCGGAAACGGTAACTTTTTTTCTCTTTTCGAAACGCCTTTTTTCAGTTTCGTGCCCGATTTCGCGTTGAGTGGCCCTCAAACCGAGCAGCCCTTCGAGAAGGTCGACATCCAGTCCGACTACATCAAGATCCAGTGTGCCGGCAACAAGCTGAAGGTATTTTCCGTTTTCTGACGCTTACAAATCTCTTTCTAGGTGGTCATCCACCAGAAGCCGTTCCTCGTCGACATCTACAACGAGTTTGACGAGTTGGTCAGCCAGGTCAACGCTGCCGGCAAGTTGAAGGTGATTTTCGGGTGTTTTTTTAGGCTTTCTTGGCTGGATAACTGCGTTTTCCTAAACCATAAATTTAGGTCGAGGAATACCGCACGAAAGAGGAGGGCAAGGAGTACCCGGACGGCTTCTGGGAGGAGTCGTTCAAGAACTGGCGCGACAGCAAGCCGTTCGGATCGAGCAGTGTTGGGGTAAGGATCACTTTTAATTGATTTTCTTTCCATTTCTTTCCGTAGCTACTTTTTACGTGAATTTTTTTTTAGGTTGACGTCTCGTTCGTCGGTTTCCGCCACGCCTACGGTCTCCCCGAGCACGCGGACTCGTTCGCGCTTCGCTCTACCGTCGGCAATGGGTCCGTTTTTAGTTTAAAACCTGGAATAAAGAATAATTACAGCTGTTTCTTGTGTTGTTTACTTTTGCTATTTTTTCAGTGATCCCTACCGCCTGTTCAACCTGGACGTGTTCGAGTACGAGCTGGACAACACGATGGCTCTCTACGTCTCGATTCCCTACATCATTGCCCACCGCAAGGATCGATCAGTTGGAGCGCTTTGGTCAGTTTTTACAAAGGGAGTCAACCTGTGTTTTGCTTTTTTAAATTCTTCTAACTGTTTGTTCTATGACGTTTCTATTCAATTTTATTGCAGGCTGAACGCCGCCGAGACGTGGGTGGACACGCGCTCGACCGAAGACTCGAAGGGCATGTTCCGGAAGATGGTCGACCGCGTGATGGCCGACGAGAGCCAGCCCCGCTTTGATGCGCACTTTATGTCTGAATCTGGTGGGTGGTAACGCTTTTTGGCTTTTTTAACGCTTTAACGCTTTTACTTTTTTTATTCATTCTAGATTTGTAAAGCTAGGTTAAATGTTGCCCGTGACTCGTCTGAATTTTTCATTTTTTTTTGTTTTATTCGTTTTTTTTTGCGCCTAGCCTCTATAAAGAAAAAAATATCGGCAGCCTAGCTGCTCCAATGATTGGTCCTAAACTTCTGGATATCTACCTTTTTCCATTTGAAACTTGTATTTTTCCAATTCAGGCCTCGTCGACCTGTTCTTCTTCGCGGGCCCCAGCACGCAGCAAGTCCAGAAACAGATGGCCGTCACAACTGGGGTACGTCCTATTTTTAGAGTTATTTTATCAATTCTTCATTGTCTAGGTGACCCCGTTGCCGCCGCTTTTCGCCATCGCCTACCACCAGTGCCGCTGGAACTACAACGATGAACAGGATGTGGCTCAGGTTTGTACTTTTTTCCAGCTTCTGCTGGAAGTAGAGCAGCTTTTTGACCGGCTGATAAACAGGAAATTATGGAGAAAAGTGAAATAATAAGGAAAGTAAAGCCACAAAACTTCCCTGAAACGTGCTAAAGGGAGGCGAAGCGAAAAATTTACAGCTTCCGGTACCACCAAACCATACTTTTTCGTAGCCTGCGCGTCATAATTAGGGCAGAAAGCTGGCTAGGCTTTACAAACATTGTATTTTTCAGGTAAACCAAGGCTTCGATGACTGGGACATCCCGATGGACGTGATCTGGCTCGACATTGAGCACACCGACGGCAAGAAGTACTTCACCTGGCACCCCGACAAGTTCCCCACCCCGCGAAGCATGATTGACGGAGTCGCGGCGAAGGTGAGGGTTTTTGTAGAAAAATGTTTCTGCCTTTTTTGAGCATTGCGAGCTAAGATTTCATTGTTAATTCGCTGTCATTATCGAAGCATGAATTTTATGCGTATTGTCATTAAATGCTTTTTATTGTGATAAATAGTATAATGAATCTTCTCTTTTCCAGGGCCGCAAAATGGTGACCATCATCGACCCGCACATCAAGCGCGACGACAACTACCGCGTCAACAAGGATGCCAAGGATTTGGGTCTTTTCGTCAAGGTACATTATTTCCGGCCAACTTCTTGCATTTATGGAATTTAGCGCGCCGACGGCACCACCGACTTCGAAGGGCACTGCTGGCCCGGCTCCAGCGAGTACCTCGACTTCTTCCACCCCAAGGTCGGTGTGTTCGGCGCTGAAGTAATTCAATTTTTAGACCCGCGAGTACTGGGCCCACCAATTCACGTTCGAGCGCTACGAGGGCTCAACCCGCGATCTGCACACGTGGAACGACATGAACGAGCCATCGGTATAATTTATGAAGGAATCCAGAAGTCTAGCCCTGGTTTTGTTAATGATTCATAAAGCTGTTTTTTTATTATTATTGATTGAAGCTGTAGATTATGTACCTGGTAAATTTCTCCCTTTCAGGTGTTCTCGGGCCCCGAGGTGAGCATGGACCGCGACTCGCTGCACCACGGCGGTATCGAACATCGCGAGGTGCACAACATGTACGGCATGATGTACACGTCGGCCACGTACAAGGGACTCGTCGACAGGACAAACGGCGAGGATCGACCATTCTTGCTCAGCCGGTGGGGTTTATTGACGTATCGGTGTTTTGTTGACGGAACACATCGAACTCATAACTAAACTTGTATTTCGATCGATTATGGTGCCTTTTTCTAAAACATAGCTTTTTTAGTAGCGGAATTGATTCTTTAGGATGCTTTAGTAGTTTTTTTGACAAATGCGTCTTTTGAATTGTTTTTTGACGATTCCTGAGCATAAAAACTTTCCGATTTTTAGTTTTAATTTGGGTCGGAAAAATTGTTTTTTTTTAGGTCCCAAAATAACCTAACTTCGACTTCTCTGGCGATTTTCAAACATTTTTTGAAAGTTTTTCTACTACAGTTATAACGTGCTAAAAACCAGATAAAAACACTTAATCTCTGCCGTTTCAGCGCCGGCTTCATCGGCTCGCAGCGCACGGCCGCCATCTGGACCGGTGACAACACGGCCGACTGGGGCCATCTCCGCTACTCGGTGCCCATGCTCCTCTCTCTTTCGGTGAGCAAATTTCAAGTTTAGCGTTGCTTGATTACTTTTAATAGTTTTTTTCTAGTATAAACAAGACTTATTCTAGGTCTCCGGCGTGCCATTCGTCGGCGCTGACGTCGGCGGCTTCTTCGGGAACCCGGATGAGCAGCTACTACTCCGCTGGTACCAAGCCGGCGCCTATCAGCCCTTCTTCCGGTGCGTTTCTTTCTGAAAGTCATTGGATGTACCCTTTTTAGCGCTCACGCCCACATTGACACCCGTCGTCGCGAGCCGTGGGTGTGGAGCGACGCGACGCGCGAGAATATTCGGCTGGCCATCCGCGAGCGATACGCCCTGCTGCCATACTGGTGTGTTTTTCGAGACTTTCGCGATATCGGGGGTCCAGAAATTCCTAGTAACTTAGTAGTACTTATTTTAATAGTGTTTTTAGTAAAATTTAGCTGTAGATCAAGCTGAAAAACAATCCAAAAAAACTGAAAGAATTTTCAGTTGAAATTTTGGTTAAAATATCCATATTGTTGTATTTTTAATCGCATTTTAAGGGTTCTAGGTTGAAGAAAAGGGGAAAACATTTTCTCTTTTTTTTATTAGAAAAATTCATTCTTGGAAAAAAATTGGTCCCCCCCCCCCGATAATGCGAAAGAAACGTCTTTTTTGTTTTTATGGTGGCCGGAAAGATAGATCTTTTCGGATCCGGGTTTTTTGAATCTAATTGGATTCTTCTGATTTTACATCTCTGTATTCCAGGTACACCCTGTTCCGCGAGCACTACGACAACGGCCTGCCCCCGATGCGCCCGATCTTCTACGAGTTCCCGGCTGAGGAGGAGTTCTTCGGCGAGGACAAGGTATCCATTTTTATATCGTCTTTCAAACACTACTGCCCGTTCAGGCCCACATGGTCGGTGATGCGCTGCTCGTCCGCGCCGTTCTCGACAAGGATGCCGTCTCGGTGGAGGTGACGCTGCCCGCCGGCGAGAAGAAGGTACGCTTTCGAACGATTTTTATCCCGCATTCCGCTTCAGGGCACGCTGTGGTACGACTGGCAGACCGGCGTCGAGCGCCCCAGCGGCTTGAACCACGTCGACGCTCCGATCAACAAGATCCCCGTTTTCCAACGGTTCGTTTGGTTTTTATTGATTTTTGTAATAAAATGATGTTTTACATTACATAATTTTAAAACTAAAATGAAATTTTGTATAGCCTTGTCTTTCTGGAATTTTTTAAAAACGTTTCGTCAGCCCTACGCTCATTTTTCCTGGAAAATTTTCCATGACTGCTTTCACAAATTAATTTTCTCTTTTAGTGGCGGCACCATCATCCCCACCTGGCAACGCATCCGCCGCTCGGCCTCGCTGATGAAGGAGGTATCGTTAAAATTTTATGAATTTACTTTGTTTTGGTTTTTAGGACCCGCTGACCCTGTTCGTGGCGCTCGACAAGCAGGGCGCCGCCAAGGGCCGCATCTACCTCGACGACATGACCACGCACGACTACCAGAAGAACAAGTTCTGCTTCTCCGACTTTGAGTACAAGTCGGTTTTTTCGAGTGGTTTCGGTGTGGAACATAGAGCTCTTGGTTTTCAAATGCTTATATAAATTTTCAGGACAATCTCCACGAAGGAGGCGCAGATCATCGGGCGCCACGCCGACAAGAACGGCGATTACAAGCTGGTCAACTGGATCGAGCGCATTGAGGTGGGGATTTTAAGAAGTTTTGGAAACTTGTGACCAGTGACTTTTCCTCCCCCCTGTTAACGCACAAGAACCGATTTTTTCAAAAGTCCCCGGCCAATTCTCTCCTAAAAATTTGCCGAGCGTCACCACGGCGTTCGAAATAACACCCACGTTCTCGGCGTCGCCCCAAACAAACACTTGTGCCGTTTTGCAACCTATCGCCCGTCAGGAGCACCATCTGTTTGTTCGTCAGTTTTCAAAGAATGGCGGACAGAGCCGTTTTGCCTTTGGTTCGCTGGCTGTTCGGTTTTGCACGCGTTTTTGAGAAGCGCGAGCTGTTTGCTTGGACTCAAATTGGTCCTACCCACTACAGTAGGAGGGTCGTTATTTTTGAGGCGTACTTTAGAAGTTTGGGCAGTTATATAAGAGTGTCCCAGTAAAAAACTTTTAAAACTAAAACTTCCTGTCAAACTTCTTAAACTTTCTAACTCGGCTGAAAAGGCTGGGCTGGAAGCGATAGTTACATCATTCGAAGTCTCTTGAAACAACGAATTTGCAACAGTACTAAAAATATCTTTTTATTTCGCGTCATTTTATGGCGAAGATAAGGACATTAAAGAACGGTCTCTGCATCTACTTAACGGCAACTTCTGGCCATATTACTTGTGGAAATTGATGGTTGTGGAGTGGAGCTCGTATGAAGCTCTGTAAAACCGACAGATCTTACAAATGGCTTGTAAAATTGCCGGTTTAACGAATCGTTTTTCCAATATTAATTCCATTTTTTCCAGGTTCGCGGCCTCTCAGCGGAGCCGACGAAGGTGCTCTCTTCAAAGGGCAACCCACTGCCGTACACCTACGATCGGGACACCCGCGTGCTGTGCGTCCGCAAGCCGGGCGACTTTGCCGGCGAGGACTGGACCGTCACCCTTCAATTCTAGAAGTGTCTAGACGCCTTTAATAGTTGTTTTTTATTGTCTTTTTTGCTCCCACCCCACTCCTGTAATCGAGTACTCTTTTTTGAGTCGCCCCCTTCTACTGGTACCGCTCAGCTTTCCCCCCACTTCAACGCCCGGAGAAAAAAAACTTTGTGTGAAACGTGTGTTTTTGTGATTTCTGTCTAAAGGGGCGGGGAAGACATGGCTCGGGGTTTCCTCTAGATTTTGCTGCGAGACGCGACGCGCACGCTCGCTTCGTTACATTGCCTAATCGATTACGCCATTTATCAGCTCGAGCATGTCGGACGGGAAAATCCTTAGAAATTCGGGCCCAGAATTTGCCAGGCTCTTTAAGGGGACACGAAAGTTTTGGAATTGGCCGGTTTTTTGGCGATTCCGGCGCAAAAACACCCTGAAAAAGCCGTGCCGATTTTCCTAGGATTTCGTCAAATATTTCGAGTTTTTCGAAAAAAATTCTACAAATTTCCCGGGCAACCCGGGAATTTTAAAGGGATAGGCGTGGTCTTCGATTCTCTAAAAATTTGCTTGCCCCGCGACACGCAACGCGTTTCCATTACGCAATGAAATCCAGGTCGAGCGCGGAAATCCTTTAAAAACCTACCCGCTCGCCTTGCCAGCCCCTTTAAAACCTTGTTTTTGCCCCCCACGAAATCTCCAAAAACCCACACAACCCCACCAACGAATCTGAATTGTTTTTCGTCACCCGTTTCCCAGCTTTTCGCCACCATTCCCCATCCACCAAAAAGAACAACACTCCCCGGAAAATCTCCCCCCATTTTTAATTTAATTTTGGGCATACGGCTCCGCGCTTCTGCGCCTTGTGATTTTGCCGCCCAACCCCGCCCGGCCCGTACGTTGTTGTTGTTTTTCGGATTCCAAATATTGGGTAGCCACCACACCGTGATTGTCATTTCTTTCTTCCGCCCCCTACTTTTTTATGGGCCCTGTGCTTTTTTGGAATAAATAGGTTGTATCAATTTGAGGGGCGCAGAAATGCGGGCTGGCGGATCCGGAACGCTATTTTCAGGTTTATGTGGTCCGGAAAAGCGATTTTGAGCTGTTACGCCAACCGCGTCAGCCAACATCACTTCCTGCGTGCGTATGGTAAATTGACCGATACCTTAAACCTATCCTTGACGCAGGCAGCATATTACTAATGGCTAAAAAAAAGTGATTAAGAAAGCTGGCCCCAATCCTGAAAGATATTTTACATTTAATTCAGTGATGCCCGCATTTTTAAGTCTTCTTGAGGGCATCTTTCTAAGACGCTAATTTCTAATTTTGTCGCCGTTTGCCCTGGGGTCACGCGTGGCTCTCTTGCATACCACCTGCTCTCAAATTATCGATCGATCGACGGCCACTCCCTGCCTTATATTGCCCATTGTTTGCCGAGCCGCAGCTGTCTCTCTCTCTCTCTCTCTCTCTCTCTCTCTCTCTCTCTCTCTCAAACGCTCGCTCTCTCTTTTTTTGCCTCTCACACGCTTATTCAGCAGCGCATTTTGCATTTTTTGATTCAAATTTTTCCAAAAATGTTATATTTCATGGCAATCTTATTACAAGCACATCCAAAGATGCGTATTTTTTGGGCTGCATATGATGATAGCCGGAGTAATTCGTAAATTTCCAACGACGAAGAAAATTGCCAAAAACCCAAGCCCCCGATCGTTCGCACGGGGTGTATTTTGGAGCGAGAAAGCCCACTTTCTCCCCCTGTCAGCTGGTGTTATCGCAAAATTGCGACGTCCCATATTTCATAGCTTCTCGAGGTGAATCACGCTTTTTGTGTACATGGAAATTTTGAAATGGGATTTTCAGGTTCTTTCCCATGATCCGGGGGGTTCCTACTGACCCAGAAACGCCTGGTAAGCTACATTTTAAGATTATAATTTTGATAAGCTTTACGAGATTTCTGGCGCGAAAGCCATGTAAAAAACCATAGAAACAAATTTAAAATAGAAAATAGAAATTAAAAATTTCCGTCGAAAAACCTATATATTTGCATTCTTTAACAGCAATTTGTAAATTTTTCGTGTTCAGTAATAATAAAAAACAATGTAGGAACACGTCCTCTATTAATATTATAAAAATTTCGTACCGCTTCCCTGATTATGTGAACGAACGAATTTTAACCTTATTACGTAATTAAAAAGTTTCAAGCTATATTCATTAAATTTTCAAAATATCGTTCAACTTCGAAAAATTCAGGCAATATACCGAACAATCTGGCTGATGGGACAAATTGATAAAAACACTGCCGCCCTATGGTAACGATTCGAAATTAAGGCAGGGGAAAATCGGCAACTACCTTTGCCCTTGAAACACTGATTTTTATAGATGAAATTACCGCCTTAACATCTTAACACCATCTTAACAACACGTAATTAAGTAACGACTCTCTTCTCTTAAGACTGAAGGATTTGTGAGCATCCCGTTTTTCTAATTTAAATAGCGGAAGTGTTTCTAAGCGTTTTTTACTATTCCTAAACATAAAACTTATAAATTTTTTTAAAAAATACGAAAAATATCGTTTTTCGATTTAAATTTTACAATAAACTCGCCGTTTCAAGGGCCTTCGAATGGTTTTGTCTTTTGCCGATCGCTGTTAAGAAACAGTTTAACCCGTTTCCACAAAAAGGCCAAATCTCGACGGTTTTTTGGAGCATATTGTCCACGGCATTTTCACTTGTTTTTTTCTCTTTTCTGGCTTTATTTCTACGTGGCAAATTCTTCATTTCAGTGGTGATGCGACTATCCGGGAGCCAATTTTCCCTTAGCATACGGTAGCCCAGTGAAGCCGTGCAAATCAGAAGATGGCCCGCGCCGAATCCGTCACATATGAATCGGAGATATCGATGAGTGTCGTCACGAATGACACCAATTTGATTCGGGTGAGTTGACAGAAACAGTGGCCGATGCCCACGTTAGAGCTTTTGAAAAATATGTGAATATTCCTGAAAAGTAGCTTAATAGGTACTTGTTTTTTGCTTCCCATATAAATTCGCAAATAGAAAACTGGAAGTTTTTTTCTCCCTCTCTCTCTCTCTCTCTCTCTCTCTCTCTCTCTCTCTCTCCCTTCTTCGGGATATTCAGGAATTTTCATGTTTCAACAAACTAATAGATTTTACGCGCTCTAATTTGTAGGGTAATCATCATAAACTTGAATTCCGACCTCCGTAAAGCATCGGCAATGCTTTACGTTTCACGATTTCACGATTTACGTTCAAGAATTTTCACGTTTCAACAACCGAGTGGTCGTAAGTCATTGAATTTAGCATAATGTCTTTTTTATTGTGGTGTATCGCCTTCCAAAAAGTTTTTTTTGTGTGATGGATTTATTTCTTCAAATGCCTCATTTTCTATGTAATTATTTAGCGAGAACAGTGCTTCCGTTTAGTTTTTTTTTGTTTTGCTTTGGGTAAAGTTTGCTTTTTAGTATTAATTACTTTAATAAAATTAGAAAATTTTATCGGGGGCGTGGAGAAATTTTTTTTCTTAGGAACCAATTTGTCAATTTAAATAAATAAATAAACTGAACATCAAACGGATTTTCGAGACATCAAGACTTCGACAAAACGAAACCATCAAAAATGAGGATAAAATTTTAAGAATTTTCGAGTCATGACGTCCGCTTTTTTATAACTTGCCTAAATTCGTCGTTTTGCGACTTTTACCATCTACGCTTTATTCAGCGGAAAATTCTGCAGACAGTAGTCTTGCTAAATATAATGCTAGTCTTGCTACCGTCCCCTTAAATTTTCTAGTTTCACCTAGAAAACATACCCCAGAAGGCCAATTCTGAGGGTATGAACTTTAGACAAATAAGGGTGACTTTTTGATGATTTCTGCTCGAGCGGGCCAGGTAGCGCCACTGATTAGACCATTTCACCGAAAACAGCCCATTTCGGGGGGTTGTTCAGCTCCAATTCGACCCCCAGCCGGTCCCTCGTATTTATTTATTTAGTTTTTTTCGCGGCCTGCGCCCTATTGGCCAAAGTGCCCTCTGATCGCCCCCATTTCTCTCACAAAAAACCCGACGTTAGAATAATTATTATTCGCCCACATGGACCGTTGCCAGGTATATTTGAAACATCGATTCTTTCGCATTATCGGGAAGGGGAGAAAATTTTTTCTTAGGAACTTTTTTAATATAAATAGTGCAAGTCTTCCTAATCTGATTTTCTAATACATAAGCCTAAAAACCCCTACAAAATGTTGTTAAAAAATACCACAAATATCGACCAAAAATAGCCGTTTTTGACAAAAATTTCGAGTTTTGAGAAATTTTTCATAGTTTTTAGATAGTTTTTCCTCGTTAAAATATCGTTTGATTCGGCTAAAAAATCCATGAAAATATTTCCTATTATGTTACTAGGCATTTCTATATTGATGGAGAATTTGGAAGATCCCCAAACACGATAATTGGAAAGAACCGAAACATTATTTCGTAAGACTTTAATGGTACCAAGATGATAAATTAGGCGATATTGGGCGACCAATTAAATAAGACATTTTATTTAGTTATTTTGAGATAAAATTGAAACTCATAATTGATTTTGCCGCGCTCTAATGCCTAGCGTGGAAAGCTCTCGGGAAAATCGGGATAATATCGAAAAAATCTGGGGCACGGTTTTTTTCTTGATAAGCGAGTCTTGATAATAAAACAAATATAATTTCTTTCTAATTGTTAGTATTTAAAAATGCTGAGCCATATATTTATAAACCCCCATGGATATGATAATCTATTTTAGTCACGGCGCCGCTCATTTCTCGACCGCCTCCGCGCCAGCGATGAGGACCCGGATTTTGAGCGGAAGCGGACGTATTGCTGGTGGGTGGGATTATTACAGGCTATTAAAAATATTTGAGTAACTTTAGCATTAAAGTTTAGTTGACCATTTTGCAAATCCTATTAATTTAAAAAGCTTGACTTAAAGGAAAACCGTGGTAGCAAGTGCCAAGCTAACACTAAAAAATTGTTA